CGCCATGCCTGCCTTGTAAGCGCAAGGTCCTGAGTTCAGTCTCTGGTACCACAAAAAAAAAAAAAAAAAAAAAAAAAAAAAAAAAAAAAAAAAAAAAAAAAAAATTGAACTGCTATAAATAGATTACTCAAAATTCTCCATGGGAAACTGATTAGTGCTTTTTATTTTTCATTTATTTGTCATGTAAAAGATGGCAGATTTTTCTCTAATACTCCAGGCTACTCCGAGTATTTTTTCTTTTTGCTAGTTAATACAATTAATCCAGTAGGATTCAGAGGGGAGAAAGAAGAATTTCAGAATATCAGATGGAATTTCTGTCCATTTTTAAAAAATTTTGAGGCAGCCATGTTTTTCTATTTTCTAACTTGCGTGCCAAGCTGAATTACAGAGAAAAATCAAAATTTTTTTTTTTTAATTTAATCTTCTGTTTTCAAACAGTCCCAGTTTTTAAAAATACAACCTAACAGTTATGTTTTGGGGATAGATATTGAGATACCCACAACCCTTCTGAGACAGGAGATTAGTAAACTGGCTGGGAAAGTGGGTGTGATCTGTTTATTACAGAGTTCCAAGACACATCTGTAGAACAGTTCCCGAAGCCCTGCACTTGAACTTCTGTGAGAATTTGAGCGGTTTTGGATAAGATTGTCTAGATCTGATGTCAGCCTGAGGAGTGGGAGATAGAAAAGGATTGTCTCCAGTTGAGTTCTCTGATACTGTGGTCTCTCGGTCTGCTGTAGAGTAGTGATGGCGAACCTTTTAGAGACTGAGTGCTGAAACTGCAACTCAAAACCAACTTCATTATCACAAAGTGCCAACACTGCAATTAAACCTGAACACCAAGGTCTTGGTTTAGAAATAAACAACTGTTATCCAATGCCCAGGTGCTAGGGCGACTTGGCTTGTGTGCCGATAGGGAGGGCTCTGCATGCTTGCTGTGGCACATGTGCCATAGGTTCGCCACCACTGCTGTCGATTATACTTTGTTTCCTGCTTTTACTTGGTCCAAATTTGCTTTGCAGAGCATATTTCTTTTCCTACTTTTAACAAACATAAAAGCTAGCTAGCTTCTAAACTTGTTATGACCAATTCTTTGTTCAGGACAGAAAGAACCCGGGAAACACCTCTAGAAGGAGACTTCAGCACCCCTAAAACCAGTAACATTTCTGTTCTTCTGAAAAGACACAAAGAGCAGACATAAAAGGATCCTTTTACATCCTGTATCTGATATTAGTCAAAGTAACTTGCCTCAATTTTTTTCCCAGGGTCAGACAATGAGCTGGGTAAAGGAAGAGAGCATTTGTCTCTTTTGCCCTATATCAGAGTCACATACTTTGCTTCAAATGGGCTGTTTGGGAAACATACAATGTTGTATGTGGCTATTTCATTAATACACTTGATTTAAGTCAATTAAAAACAATTTAACTGTGAGTTTGAAAAAGCCTCAGTGTTTTGGTTTCTTGCGTAAACAAAGTCAAGTTCAGCATAAACAGCAAAATAAAATTCAGCTTTAGCCAATCAGAAGCCACCAAACTAACCTCAAACTATGGACTTTCCCTTTTACCAATGGAGTATATTTCCTTTGTCTTGCTTCCTTGGACATTTTATAAATTTCCACTCCCCACAGTGGAGGGCTGAACTTGTCTATTCATGCTACAAGGAAATACTTCTGTTGTATCCTCCCCGAACAAAACCCACAAGAAATAGAATTTTTTTTTGACTCTGCCAAGGTTTTGCACTCCAAAATTTCTCACATAGAAGTGGAATGATGACTTGATGGTGGGAATTTGAAGGTGGGGCCAGTCACTGACCTTACTAACTCCATTTTGTTTCTCTGACTCCATCTTGCCTTTTGACTTTTTCATTTCCTTCTAAGTTTTCTCGAGTCATTCTCTCCCATAGTTGCTTTGGATCCCAGAAACAACAGATCTGACTGATAAACATTTTATGACAAAGGACTAAAACTATCCTCTAAACAACAGTGACTTTCTTGGTGCCACAGAGCTCTGTATGGCTAGTCCTGAGAAAATGGCCCAAGGTAATGATCAGCTGGACCATGCCCAGACCAACATGACCTGGATCGCTATCCATGGAAACCCCCAACCCTGTTTTCATTCCTTTTTCTTATGTAACTCTGAGACTGTTGGAAGCATTTTTGAGGACAGATCTTAGGTATCTAGACCTCTGTCCTTCATGTGTGACCACATGGAGAGTAAAACCCTTTTTCTGCCTTTACCACTGCTTGTTCCTCTGATGGGCTTTTTGGGGCAGGTGGTTGAGGCTACTGTTTGGGGACTTTGGAGTCAAGGGGTCAGCAACATAGTCTGCATTGTCAACATTCCCATCAGCATTTTGATCCTCTGAGCTCACACCAGAATTTACCACTAAATTCTGCTTACAACATTCTAGGGATTCTTTAGCCTGCATCTCCAAACCTTTCTAACTCCTCCTCCAGACCTGTTCCAAAGCTTAAACCACATGATCAGGTGTAGTGACAGTAATGCCTCCACTTTTTGATCCCCGTTTTCTGTGTTAGCCTTGCATTCCTGTGAAAAAAATATTCAAGATGAAGCACTTCAAGGAGTAAATGTTTATTTTGTTCCATAATTTCAGAGATTTCCATCCATGGTTTGCTGGCTCCATTGTTTTAGGTCAGTTGGGAGGCAGAAACATCATGATGGAAGGGCATGGCCAGAGAAGGCTGCTCAACTTATGGCAATCTGGAAGCAGAGAAAGGAAAGAGCCAAAAAGAAGCACCTAGGGATCAGATAGAGTCCCAAGGCCATGCAACCATGATTCAATCACTTCTCAAAAGCTCATCAGCAACAGTCTTCACCATAATGAACATTTTCAGGGGACATACTAGATCTCAACCATGACAGTCCCACATGGCTGCTCCCATTTCAGATGCTGATCCTAAGCCCCAGATTGTGGCCCATGCTGCTAATCCAGTAGCTATAATTCAGTCTTCTCATGACCCACTTCTTAGATTTGATTATTATGCTAACAATAATGCTTCACAGGACTGAGGGGAACATTTTACTTACATCCACTCACGTATTATAAGGATATACAAAGCATACAGATAAACAGCCAGTTGGAAGAGATGCACAGGGAAAGGTATGGAAGAAGGGGTGGAGCTCCAACATCCTGTCTCAGTGCACTGCCCTGCAGGAACTGCCACATGTTCAGCAAGCCTGAAACACCCCCAATCTTATCCTTTTGTTTTTATAAAGCTTCATTACAGAGACATGCTTGGTTAAGCCACTGGCCATTGGTGCTCAACTTAACCTTCTTCCCTTCTCCCCTCCTCAGTCGAAGTTTGAAGATTGAAGCTGAAGGTCTCAAATTTCTAACCAAATCTTGATTTGCTCATGACCAGCTCCTATTCTGAAGCTAGGGGTCCCTAGCCACTAGCCATCTCCTTACTATAGAAAAGACCTTCTATTTTTGTTTGGTTTTTATTTTTTATTAAAACAACACTGAGAGTCCATCTTGCTAAAAAAGAATGTGTATTATCAGGAAATAAAATAATAATAAGTTCTGTAGAGATTGCAGGGAAAAGGGGACCATTGTAAATTGTTGGTGGGAATGTAAACTAGTAAAACCATTATGGAACTCAATATGGAGATTTCTCAAAAAACTGAAACTAGAAATTTCATTAGACCAAGCTATTTCCTTTCTAGATATCTTTCCAAAAGAGATAAAGACATTATATTACAGTGATTCACGCATATCCATATTTATAGTAGCACAATTCATAATAGCTAAATCTTGGAAATGGATTATATGTCCATTCACAGATGAATAGATAAAGAAAATGTGATATTTACACACAGTGGAGTACTAGTCTGTCATAAAGAAAGATAAATTTGAGTGATTTGTAGAAAAATGGGTGCACCTTGAGACCATAATGTTAAGTGAAATAAATCAAATACACAAGGTTAAATATTGCACAGTTTCTCTTATATGAGAAACCCAAAATATACATAAAGAACAAAACAAAAGACAGATAATAGGAAATAAGGAAATCAATTTTTAACAAATGGGAAGGGAACCAAGAGATGTGGGGGGAGGAGAGGAGAAGCAGTTGAAAAAAGGACTGAGATGTGCTGTGTACATGCACCAACACCCCAGGAAGAATATGATCTTTACCTACTGATAGGATAGAAAAGGCATTCTTATCACCTCAGAGATTCCAAGTGTTTTAGGACTTGTAGGTCAGCAAATAGGACCAAACACCTCTTTCGTGCATCACCATCAGGTATAGAAAATGCTCAGTCTCAAAGAGCCATTGTTCTGCCCCTGAGCAGGAATCTGACTTGATGACACTTGTTGCCAGGTAGGATGTGGCAGTTTAGCTTTGTTCCTGATAATAATACACAATAGGGCAAGCCTTTGCGTTGTGCTATGTTCCTGCTCCATGTATCGAAAGCGTTTGTTTTGTTAACTCCGCCCCTAGAGGCTCCTGCTCCTAGCTTTGTCTGCACCCTGAAAGGTTCCTCTCAACTTCCTTTCCCCAACTGTATAAAACTCACTCCCACTGAAACTCAGGACTCAGGATTGGGAGTGGCCAAACTCCTCTGACCCAGCTAGCTAATAAAGGTTTTTCTCCATCTCGTGGAGTAACTTTCAGATTCTAGGGTCTTCAAATTGCTGTAGCTATAACACTTGAGCTGTAACACAAGAGCTGTAGTACTTGAACTGTAGCGCTTGGCTGTAACACTGAGCTGTTTCACTTTACCACAACATTATCACAATGCTGAGTTTGCATCTCATAATGCCGAAGAGTAAACTCAAGGAGGATAAGTGGGAAGAAAGTTTATTAGATGAAAACTCCTGAAAGCGGGAGAGGACCCAAAAGTGAGCTGCCGTGAGGACTCTGTCTAGGGGTTTTTATACATGAAAATGACCATATCCCAGACCACTCTGGGACAAACTGAGGTCAATCTATGGAGTTACAAGCAAGAAAGTTTGGCTAGAAGTGCATCTATAGAAGCTCAGGGCCAATGGCAAGTGGGTTTCTTCCCACGGCAGAACAGGTCAGGATAGAACTGGTAACTTTTCTTATAGCTTTTCTGGTTTTGAGCAAGACAGTAGGCAGCAGTTTTATCGCATCCACACAGCCAACTCCGACAGTAATCCTGGTTTACTGAAATTAGAAGAAAATAATAACTGGATGAGAGCTTGTTAATATTCTATGGCTTCTTCCTGGGTGTGGTGATGCACACCTGTAATCCCAGTACTTGGGAGGCTCAGGCAGGAGGATCCCTGTGAATTTGAAGCCAGCCTCGGGTACATAGAGTTCAAGTCCAGCCTGAATTATATAGGAAGAACCTATCTCAACTCCTCTCCCCCAAATTCTGTGGCTTCTTACGAGAGAGTACCTGTTCCACATAGTTCTTCCCAATGGGAGGTAGAAATCCTCCAAGCTCTGAGACTGCTAGAGGACTTTTGCACACCCATTCCCCCTTCCATCTGCTAACAGACCTGTCCAGATGGCCAATCCAAGCTCCATGAGCTGGGAGATGGATAGCAGTTGGTAAAAGCCAGGCAATGGCCTGCTTTTGTCCTTGGCAAGGATTGGGCTGTATGTAGCATATATTCTTGCTCTGGGCAGTGAACCACAGGGGAAATCTACTGGGGGCTTCAGGGAAGCATGGATTTCTTCCCTCCAAAAAGACAGTGGCATAGTGGGAAAGCCTGTTGGATAGTCAAGGCTATGACTTGTGGAGCTACAGGCATCTTGAGAACACAAGGTAGATTTAGCCACCTTGGCCTAGCTGAGCAGTAGTGCTGGTGACATGGCAGAGAAGCTGCCCCAGGCATGGTGCTGCCCTCTTTTAGAATTTTCATTACGTGAGAGTCAGGCATCCCCATTAGCCAAAGCACTGTCAGCTGGGCACCAGGTGGCCTGGGACTTAAAGCCTGTGGAGTTACACACCCTGAGGAGAGGGCACAATGGTAGAAGTAACTTGTGATCTTCAAAGTTGCACCTATGGATCCACTGTCTGGGGACAGTAAGACTTAGCTCCCAGTTACTGCCAGTCTCCCTCCTCCTCTTCAGTCAGGCTTTCTCCACACAGTTGTCTAAAGTAGGGGTCTCAACTTCCTGCTCACTGCCTGACCTGCTCTAATCTGGCTGTGCCTCACACCCCATGGGAACACCTGTGTCTGAAGCCCTCAGAGGCCTTCCCGTTCCTCAAGTGAAGGAGCCCTGTGCATCCTCTTCATGGCGGTCTCCTCTGGTTAACTGGCCCACGTTAATCCACAGTGGCCCCTTGACCTCTCCTTTTGTCCTCTTCCCCGATCTCTGTCCAAGTTTCTGGCCTCCTTCCCAGGCCTTTAATCAAAAATGGGTGAGGATCCCACTATTGCTCCCTATTGTTGACTTCTGAATGTGCTGCAGGCCAGACCCTCCCTGAGCTGCAAGTTCCCACATCCAGCTGCCTGCTGTCCATCTTCCGGGGCATCTGGAGCCCCCAACCTCCCTCTGCTCCAATCAGAGTGGCTCCTCCCTGATCACGCACCTCCTCCTGCCATCTTTACCTCAGTTGTACCACTGCACAGTCGCAGACCCACCCAAGAGCTCATCATTACCCCCTCCCTGGGCCATTGCCAAGCTCAGCGGATTCTCCTCCAGTGCATCTGGACTGCAGTTCACCCACTCCCTCCTGCCCACCGGTGCTCTCTTCCACATGGTTGCTCTCTCTTGTCTGCATTTTGGTGACAGCCTGCTCACCAGTCTCTCAACAAGTCCCTCTCTATCCTGAGACAGAGGGAGTGCTCTGAAATGCATTACCCATTCCTGCATTCCTTTGCTAAATAGCTCCCTACTGCTTTAAGACAAAACCTACAGACACCCTGGCCTGGAGGGTCTGGCTTGATCCAGTCCCTTCCTTGTCTCACCATCCCTCACACTTCCCCTAGTGGCACAGTGTGGTCTGTGGTCCCCTCAGGTCCTCCTCTGGGAATGCCCCAACCCTTCTGTTCCCTGCCTCTCTGCACAGCCTCTGGGACTCAGCACAGATGTCACCACTCTGAGGCTCTTCCTTGAGCCTGAGGTGTATTAAGGGTCTGTCTTTTGCTTCCTTCCTTTTGTAGCCTTCCCCACCCGGTCCTCTCAGTTTCCTCGCCTCCCACTCAACCTTGAGCTTCTTGAGACAGAGATAGTGTTTCTTTGTGGCTCTATCTCTGGTGCCCAGTGTGGTGCCTGGCACAGTGGGCACTCAGAAGGTGAAGGAAGGAATCATAATGACATCATGGGGGCTTTTTCTTACTGCTGCACTCGATTTCGTGCCCCCTTACGGTGAACTGGTAGTTCAGAAACTTTGTGCCGCACCCACGTTTCCTCAGAAGGTTGTAGCAACAATCATGCTTGAGACAGCACCTGGTAAGAGGACATCCTGTTAGGGGTGCCTCCCATAGAGTCAGGAGTTCTTCTGTCCTATCATCCCCCCTCCCCTGACCCTGGTTAGAGACTCAGTGACTTAGGCATTGTCTAGGCCACAGTTTAAAACATTTTGGCTGTTTTTCCAGCTAGGACCTCCTGGAACTTTTGAGGCACTGCAGGGCTAGCTCTCTCCTTGCAGCTCCCAGCCCTACCAGGGCCAGGAATGAGCAGAGGGCATAAAAGGCTGCGGTGGTCTTACCAATCTGTTTCATCCATTGGGGCTCCTCTGCCACCCAGGCCACAGTGGCAACCATAGAAGCCATAAGCCCAGAAAGCTTCTTTTCTTGTCATCAACTGGATCATTTTCTGTAAATCCAAAATACTACCAAGGGCACACATTACACCTGGAAGAGAATTAACAAATGGCCTAGTGTTAGGGTGTGGGTCCCTGGGTTCCTCCTCCCCACTCCTCTTTGGCCCCTGAATGGCTTCTTTCTGCTTCCCAGTGAGAAGACTGCTGAAGCAGAAAAGAGAACTGGGGGTCAGTTCTGTGCTGCTGCCCGCCTGCATGCCCAGAGACTAGTATCAGCTCTTACCAAAGGCCATGACTATTGCCAGCAACAGGAGGGACTTCATCCTGGGAGCTCTGTGAGGGACAATTGTAGACATGTTGGCCTGGACTTCTTCCCAAGTTCTTCCCAGTTTCTGCCCTGGACCTTACTCTGGTTCCCCGAAGCAAACCAACATGCCTTCTATCCAGGCCACATCCAGGGTGAGCACCTCTGTCACACACTAGGGCACACAGAGTGAACTCTAACAATCTGTGCACACACACACTACCTCCTGACCCTTCCCAGCTCTGTGGAATGATGTTACACACATGCAAGCCTCAGACTCCTGGAGACCACATGTGATATAGCAACAAAGCCTCCCTTGCTCCTCCTCAGACTAAAAATTCTTGCGAAGGTGGAAGGAAGGTCATTCTAAAACACCCAGAGGTTCCTGAGGTCAGAGATTATATCCTATCATTAGACATTTGATCTGTGTCCCCACATTGGATTCAAGGCTTAGGAATTCCATCCTCAGACTCTGATCCCCAATATTTTTCTCCTGAACTTTAGCAACAACCTCTCTTTGCAAGGCTTCTGAAGCCCATGCTATATATAAACACACATGCACCTGCCCACACCCACACCTACTCACCAATGCTCTTGACTAGGCCTTAATTTTGGGGCATTTACCTCTCAGATGATGCTGGAGTTGATACGGCCAAGTGACTGTCTTGGTTTCTTGAACTCTAGCTGCTTTCAAACAGCTACTCCCCCTGGGAGGTTGGGAGTTGGTGGGTCATGTGGTTGATGCAAAGATTGGCCCGCCCATTCCTGGGACAGAGGTGAGCACTGGAAAGTGTTTTAGTCCATGAGCAGCCGAAATATGTTTCAGGTGATTTTGAAGGCTTTCCCATAACTTAGCTTCTGACCAGGTACATTCTTATCACCAGCTTTATGTGTGAACACTACTTAGTTCCCAGCCTTCACCCACTCCCAAAGTAGGCAAGGAGCGTGTGCTTGGACAGCCTGTAGACTCACCTGCATAGTGAATGGGGCCTTTACCTAGCAAGTGCTGCAGTTTTCTTCTGCTAAAGGTGGAATTTGAGAATAGCAAAGAGCATTTAATGTGATTCATTAGTTCCATCCATGAATAGAAGTCCATTCACTGCAAAGAGCCAGAGGTCCTGCAAACCTCTTGGGAAGTGATGAGTATTATAGCCTAGTTCTGCCCTTGAGAGTTCCCACAGTCCCCTGGGAGAAAGTTGAATGGGCAGATTCCATTTCTCTTAACTGTGGTCAGTGCTTCCTTCTGTCTTTTTCCTCTTCATTCTCCTCCTCTCTCATCCTTTACAAATTTCCAATCCTAGGGAAAGATAGGCTGTTCTTGACAGTTCTATCAAACCTCTGCTTGCCCCTTAGCCCCAGGCCTCAGCTGTTTGGAGACAAGTCAGGTAATGCTTCCTGGAGCTATCTTTTTCATTCTTCAGATTTCATGGACATAACGACTCAGATTCATTCATAAGATAAGAATCTCCTTTTCTGCTCTCCAACGTGTGGTAAGAAATTACTACCTCCATGGTCAAAGTGAACACCCCTAACACTAGGCTTCAACAATCATTGCAGCTGAAGCTGAACAACATCTGTGCCTCACTCTCTAGCCCCTTACAGGTGTGCATCCCTGAGCCTGCTTCAAACACAGGCATTGGTACAATGGTCACTTCTAGGCTGAGAGCAGGGAAAACTCAGTGCAGCTCCCAGCCTTCTGTGCCCTCACCATGGCTGCTGGGGTAGAAGCAGTGTGGTTTGCTTAGCTGTGGGATGAAGGAACAACTAACTGTTTTGGAAAGTCTTGCTGATCTCAATGGACCTAGGTTGAGTGATAAAAAATCTTTTGCTATTTGTCCACTTATAATTAAGGTGAGTAATCATTGCAGTGTTACCTAGTCTATCCTAAGACCAATTAAGGCAGATTCACTCTTTTGTTTTGTTTTGGTTTATGTAGACAGGCTGGCCTCGAATTTGCAGTGATCCTTCAAGGCAGATTTACTCTTGAAATTACACTTTGCCTCAAGGGCTAGATCCATGGTATGCATTAAACTGTGTTCCTATTCCTCCTTCTAGTTCAATATTTAAGTCTCAGAATGTGACTTTATTTGGAAATAGGGTCATTGCAGATGCAATTAAGTTAAAAGGAAGTGATTAGGTTGGACCCTAAACTTAAATGATTGGTGTCTTTAAAAGTGGGCAAATTGACTTCAGACACTAACACTAGGAGAATACCATATGAGGGTGAAGGTATAGATCAGGGCAATGCTTCCACAAGCCATGGTGCCCAAGAGTTTCAAAAGCCACCAGATGGCAGGAGAGCGGCATGGAGCAGATTCTCCATCTCAGCCCTCAAAACCAAACCTTGAGAATCTCTTGGAGCCATGAGTCCTGAACTGGTTACATCTATGAGTCCTGAACTGTTTAAAAGTTTATGATAATAAACTTTTGTTGAGTTGAAGGATCTTTATTTTTAGTGTAAAGCCATAGCATACTGTACAGTTCCTATATCTCTATGAGCTTGTGCTCTCCTCTCAATCCAAGGTCCATTCCTCCATTAGCTGGTTTTAATCCTCTGTTAGGTTCAGAGATCTCACCCACTGCCTTTTGTTGAATACTTCATCTTTTGGAGCACTGGTTACTCCAATAGGGAGAACTGCCTCCCTCTCCGTATGTCCTGGTGACTCCAGTAATCAATTCTAGGCTTTGGGGCGGGGGGAAGAATTGCTCCAACACTCAAGGCTTTTGGTGCCATCAGACTGTGCCTCTATTATTTAATCAGTGAAGATTAAGGTAAAATTGAGCTGGACATACAGAGGGTAGACATACCCCTCTACCCAAAACACACACTCACCTCCACTGTCCACTTCCTGTCCCAGTGTGGCACATCTGCTACAATCAGTGAGCTGACATTAACATGCCATCATCCAAGAAAGTCCATAGTTTACAGTAGAGTTCAGCTTATGTGTTAGGCATTTTATGGCTTTGACATACATGTTAATGACACAGTCTACCCTTATGGTAAACAAAGTAGTTTCACCTCTGTGCTCTGATTTATGCCTGCTTCTCTGAAACTCTGGTTCAGTGATCTTTTACTCTCTTTTCCAGAATGTCATGTGATTGGAATTATGCTGTGTGCAGCCTTTTCACATTGGCCTCTGACACTTAATAATGAGAGTCCTCCATGCCTTTTGGTGAATTGATAGCTCATTTCTTTTTATCACTGAATAATATTCCATTGTTTGAATGTACCACAGTTTATCCATTTACCTATTGAAGGACATGGTGGTTACTTTTAAGTGTTGGCCTTTATGAACAAAGCTGCTATACATATTTGTGTGCAAGTTTTTGTGAGAATATTAGTTTTTCAAGTCATTTGAGTAAATATCAATGAGCACAATTTCTGGATCATTTGTCAAGAGTTCAGTGTTGAACTTTGTTGTGAAAATTTGCAAAAGAATCTTTCTATACTATCAGGTGTACCATTTTGCATTCCCACCAGCAATAATTGAGGGTTCCTATTGCTCCACATTCTCACCAGAATTTGGTGTTGGTGTTTCAGACTTTAGCCATTGTAAATGGGACTGCATAGTTTTAATTTGAAATTATCTAATGTTGAGCATCTTTTCATATATTTATCACCTTAATAATTCCTTTGGTGAGGTATCTCATCAGCCATTTTTTCAGTTTCTAAATTGGAATTTTTATTGTTGACTTTTAAAAACACTTTATGTATTTAGGGCAACATACCTTTATCAGATATGTCTTTTGAAGAAATCACTTTCTTCCCCTACTCCTTTCCTCTTTCCCACATTTATTTCCATCTTGGCAGTTATCCCAATCTGCAGTACTTTATTTATTTGGCTGTTTTTTTACTGTTTGGTTATCTAGAGAAAGGGTGAAAATTGGGGATTTGTAGGCTTCTTGGGTATGCAAAGCATTTAGAGTTTCCTGTTTTCTCTATTCCTCTTTTTGCTTTCCCTTTGAGACTTAAAGTATTGGTTTGGATTGTTTGGAATCACGTGCCAAGCAGGTTCAAAGGGCAGGAGTTATTTGGGAAGGACAACCCTGGAAGATAATAGGGAGAAAAAGAGACAGAGAGAGTAGGAAGTGAGAGTGTTCAGATCACAAAGTAGTGATAGGGCAGGGGACTTAGCTCAGTGGTTCTGCCATTTGCCTCAAAAGCACAAGGTCCTGAGTTTGGTCCCCAGTACCAAACAAACAAACAAAGTAATGATACATCTGAAAGGGCTATGGAAAGTAGGAGAATTGTGTAGGAACTAATCAGATGGGGACCTCTGGAATGAGCAAGCCTCTTAGAGGAGGACTGTGTTGGTCAGATTTCTGACTGTGATAAAAGACCTGAGAAAAGCAACTTAAGGTGGAAAATTTATTTTGGCTTATGGTCTCACAGCATTCAGTCCATGGTAATCTGGTTCTGTTGTGTTTGGGTCTGATGCAGAAATATCACTGCAGAAGGGCAAGTGGAGGAAAGCTACTAATCTCATGAAAGAGAGAGAAGAAAACAAGAGAGAGAGAGAGATGAAAAAGAGGAGAGAGAAGGGAGAGAGGGATGGACACAGAAAAGAGAGAGGAGGGAGAGAAGGAAAAGGAGGGAGGAAGACCAAGCTAAAATTTATTTTCAGTGGCATGTTCCCAATAACTCACTCACCCCAACTAGATTCTCCCCGCAAGTATTCATCACATCCCAATAGCCCAAGTTATGAACCCATGAATGGATTAATACATTAATGAGGTCAGATCCTT